ATGAAAAATTTCACCACATTTCAAAGTGAATTCTAACTTTCAGACAATTATCAAAATTTTTATTTGTGGGCCAATAAGAATATTAAAATTTTATTTGACATATTACATAAAAAAATAAAATATTGTGTATGTAAGCTTTGACTTTTGATGAACGGCTATTTATTGCACAAAGGTTTTCATACTTTTTGGACAATTTTTCATGCTCAATGCGCTTCAAATAGTCCAGTAAATTATTGACATAAAAGTAAATTATTTAATCAAACTAAAAATAACAATTATAATTGTTCGTGTCACATGTTACGATAATTTTAAAAAACAAAATAAATGGAGATATTAATTAATTTGAGTATCAAAATTGTACCTTGAAATTCCGGAAGTATTTATTGCTAATTATATGTTTCGTATTAACACATAAGCAGTGGTTTTACAATTTTCATTCAATGGAGTAGATTATTAAATACTCATTTAACCATTAATCATCATTAATTAATAATACTATTTTCTAAGTGAATAACCACCATCGATATACAATGATTTGTATTCCTGTCATTTGTAAAATATTCGAATTTTATTCCATCAATTATTGTTTAACAGTTTATTCATGAAATTGTGGCTTACAAAAGAAGGCGAAAAAAAATTAGTTTTTAAATCATTTAACTTTTAGAAACTAATTTTTTTGTGTTTGAATTGTATTCAATTCATACTTTAATCTTAAAGGGTAGTCCATCAACTCCATAATTTATTTTATAGTTCACTAGAGTTGTTTAAAAAAAACTAGAATTATTTAAAGAGTTCCAGTCAGGTTTTAATCAAAAAAAAAATTTCTAAACTCTTTGTGATACATATTAAAAAAAAAAGATGAATTATTTCGATAATTAAATCAATTTTTGGTGAAAAAGTAACTCTTTATCACTCGTGGAAGTATCTTTAATCTAAATCTAATAACAATCAATAACCATAAGTTTTTGGCTTTTTAACGGCACCAGAAAAGAGAAGAAACACAACAAGTTAAGAAGGGGAATGTGTATGTATACCAACATCAATCTCTCCTTGTTCCGAGTGGCATTAATTCAGTATCCTTGTTTTCCTACTTCTCACTCTCATTCTCCTTTCGTATTTTCACTCCACTCTTATTCAATAATGACGAAAGAAACTTGAGAGCTGTTTGATTCACATTACTACTAAGTAAACTTTATAGTTTTATTATTATACATTTAATCTACATTAATAATATTTCATTCCAAATGCAATCAAAAGAGAAAAAAAATAAATAAATACTATGCAATTTTCAACGATAGTTTTTTTTTTTTTCTTTTTAAAGAGAAATTTACTTTTACTCGGACTGCAATGCAGTTTTAATTTTAATGAGAGGAACAAAAGGCAAAAGACCCATTCACTTTAAAAATATATCCAGAACTGACAAAACAGTTGATATGGAATGATATAGAAGCCGGATTATAAATGGTTTCGTGGTAGTCAGATGAAAATGGGGATAGATAATAGAGGTTGGCGAAGAAACTAGAGGAGTCTCTAAGCACAGAAAAGACCATAGGATACTGTAAAATGAAAAAAAATTAAAAACTATAAAAAGCAATCGTAACAAAAAATAGTAAATCTACCCAATGCTCATTTATTAATACTAACATTCAGAAGCTTTTATTCTCTTTTTTTTTTTTTAAATATAATTGTTGTTTTTCTTTATAAAACTATATTCCATTTACATCCTTTGTTTTATTAATAGTAACAAAGGATTGAAAAAATGTTAATCATTAAAGTGTACATTATTATACTTATTATTATTATTATAAATGTGGATATTTGGTGAATATTTCACCAGGAAATAATGTTTTTAAAAAAAATTCTTCAAATATTAAAATCTAAAAAATTTCCTGCTCATCAATTGAAATAGATTTTATTTTTCTTATTAATTTAAAATCATATAATACATTTCTTTACACCGGTATTGTTCAATCGGATGTAAAAAAAAAAAAAATCCTAATTAACGTATTTTTTTTTTTTTTTAAATGTCGATTGAAGCTTTGAAAATTCTTCCTACAAAAGTTTAAATATTCTCGAAAAAAAACGCAAGCTAATGAAAAGTAAGTAATTAGCAAACGTAAGCTCTGCTAAACTTTTCAAGAAGCGATTTTTTCAGCTAAAGCAATATTTGTCTTTTATTACATTTTATGATATTTACACTTTTAAGTAAATACGTCATTCACCTTTTTAGCACAAATTTGATGTAATGTAAAAGTTTATTTCTTCACAAAAAAATATTAGTTTTTTTATAAACATTTAGTTTTATCATAGACTTTTGATTCGTTTTTATTTTTTTATCCTTCGTACTCTTTCAGATATAATTAACTTTGTAATGCACTGCATACTCCCTATAAAGATATACTTTTAGCTCTCCTGATATAAAGGAATATCTTGAATAAAATGCAATTTATCTAACAAACTTTGTCAAACCATTTGTAATGAAATCATATGCTGCTCATAATTTTCAAAGCATTATCCCAAGTCCAAGTTTCGTCTTTTGATCTAAAGATGAAAATGGCATCCTATTTAACTCATCGTGGAGTGTTAGGATCCCGCATCTATGGAGTCCTTCCACGTGCTATAGAACGAGATACGCGCAATAGTCTCAAAGATATACCCACTGAGAGATAGAGGTGAATACCAGCTGAGAATCGGATCCCAAATACAATCCCAACGAGGTCACAATGTCGATTCCTATACCCCTATCATTCTCTGGGTAAGATATACCTTCATTGATACAAGCTCTATTTGCCAAATGTATTGGAATCTATTAGAATCCTTCAATACATCTTCCCTCACGTAAATCAGCTCATTCTAGCTTCCTACATTTCCATTGTTTATTTTTGTAACTTATGCTTTTGTATGACATTGCTTTCAATATATTTGAAGGATATTTTCTAAAAGGAACAATAAACCAATCAACTTATAATCAACTGAATAAAATATTACATCCACCATGACACCTCAGAATTCTATGACTTCATGTTTATTTTTTTTTTTAACTAATCCATCTGTTAATTATTTAGATAAATTAAAATACAGACAGATATTTAAATCTTTTAAGAGTCTTCTTTCAATGCAGTAATGTTCTTAAAATGGTCTTTTAATTTTTTTTTTTTCATTGGAATTATAGATTAATTAAGGTAAAACTGATTGTAAAAAAATAGTTGAACTTACAGTACATAATATGGGTATTTTAAAAAAGGAAAGGCCAAAGCTCAAATATGAAATGATGTTGATCATTAACATTTATGATTATTATTTTGATTTTACTAATAAAAGCTTGATTTTAGTTAGTGGTTATTGCATATTCCCATTGAAATTATTTCATATTCTTAATTTGTTTGAATTCATGAGGGTACCACGATTGGAATATTTTTTAATTCAATCTAATTTCGTTTATTTGATTCCAGCTCAAAAACTTTTTTAATAAAGCTTTAATAAAACAGCAATTTGTAATATCGAAAAAAGTCAGGAGTGTTTTATTAAACATTAATAGAAATAAAATGATACTAAATGTTTATAAATAACGATTGAATAAAAGGAAATACATTTAAAACGAAAAACAATGGGATAAAAATTTTTTTTAATCATAGAGAATAAGTGGATATTATCCATAATAGTTTTTAATTTTGAATCTTATATTCAATTTTATGTAAAAGAATTTAATAATTTATGTGGACTTTTTGATTTTAATTCAAACTCTTAAAAAATTAAAAAATGAATATTCAAAAAAAAAATAAGTTTATTTCGAAACCTTCACGGTATTTTGTTCGTTAAATTTTCAATCCATGTAAACGTTTATAGATAATATTCGATGCTCTTTACAGAGAAATAATGATGTTAAAATATAGCTGCACATAGAATTGGAAATGATTTAAATATGACCAGATGTAGTCACATTTATAAAAAAAATATATTAAAACGGAATAAAATATTGCGAATAATTTTTTTTTGCAAACTACGAACTGATGATGAAATAAAAAAAAACCTTTTCCATCATGAACCCGACTAAGGATAAATATTTTTAATACCTGTAAATTCGTGATTCACAAATACTCATTAAATTCTGATTAATGCTTGCTGTTTGTAAATTTGAAACTTCATTCACGTATTATTACGACTATTTGTCCAATTCATGATGTTTGTAATTTAACTAATAGTAAATTTATCGATCATTACAAATAAGAGCAACAAAAACAATAGAAATGTTAACAATGATCATAATCCTACTTTAAATTCCATTGTAATGAAATTCTTTCGACAAATGTATTTGTCAATTTAATCATATTGATAACATTGGAATTTGCATCATTATAATATTTAAAATAAATACATTCATTAAAAAAAAAAATTTCTTTTCTGTTTAAATTGGTTACCGATTTTAACAATCCAAAGTTGTAATTTTTTTTTGAATAAATCAGAGTAAAACATTAATTAATATTAGTAAAAATATTCTTACTAAAAATTTGTTATAAATACGAAAGAACAATAATGTGCTGTTATTGAGTTGGAGGAAAATTTAAACACATCAATCCGTGTAAAAATTATCAACCCAAGTTTCGTGTTAGAAACTTGCTTGTAAAATTTTGTATAATTTTTGAAATAATTCAATACGACTGAGAAAGAATAATATTTCACAGTGTACGACAAAACTTATGTGGCAACCTACATATTTCTATCCATTCTCGAATGAACGGTTATAAATTTTTCAATAACTCCAATATTTTTTACTTCTCCATTTAAATAAACACACCACATTCATATTCATTTCCAAGCAATAATATCATACATATTTAATAAAAATATTTTATTATTTGATTGAACACATATATTTCACGTAAAAATTGCTACCACACAAGGGGAGGTGATAGTCTGTATGATTTATACTGTTTCATATATTGTAATATAGGGAATTGAATAAAATATATTGGCTAAATATAGAAAGATAAAAAACTCACCGTGTTTGGTGACCAATTGTGCGGCCAAGTCTTGGTGTCATGACTACTAGCACCCGGGGAACTAGCAAGAAACACAACACGTCTGTCAGTACTTCCGGTTCCGGTGCCAGTAGTCGCAAGCAATGCTGCTCTCGCCTTCGAGCTTCCTCCAATGCTCAAGGTCGGTGACGAGTCCATTGTCAACCTAAATCACATGTTTACCACTTGTATGAATCCAAAAGCTATTTATTTATATTTTAATTATTAATACTTACACTTATTTTTATTCAACTTCAGGTAATTTATTTTTTAATGACACTTTACAACAAAAATTTATTATTATTATTAATTTTATTTCATTTTGTCATCACTTTTGTAATAAATGGATTTTCACAATTATTATAGATTATTATTAGCTATGACATTATTTTATTTATAATTGTAAATTTTTTTAGTTTGTATAATTATTTAGCTTTTTATTTACAAAGGTGTTATTTTATAACAAGCAATAAAATTTTAATATCATTATTAATTATTCTGCTACAACTATTAATTATTTTATTTTCTATAGATTTGCATGGTATTCATGTGAAGCGGAATATAAATTTATGTAACACACAGTATACGTTTTATTTTATATAGAATTTTAGAAAGCATGAAAATAAAAATATGCTCTTTGTTTTAAATTGATTAATAAATTCACACTATATATTTTACAATAAATCTTGAAGCAACACCTTATTTTCACTTTTATGCACTACCGTTTTTTTTTTACAATTTTTTTTTATTTATATTTAATAAATCTTTATTTATATCACTTCTACTATGTTAACTTATGTCATATGTGTTTGATAATACTCATGAATTATTTTTTTTATTTTTTGTCAATCACAAAAATTTTTCTCGCGAGTTTTAATATTGACGTGTGTGATTTTTGTCAACGATAATGAAATTAGAAAAAAAAAAAATATTCTATTAATTATGATTTTTAATCATTTTTAATCAAGTCATATACACTGTCAATCATTCAAGACTCTTCTATGTTATCGATTCACAAAGTTTTCATATTTAGTTGCAAATATTTTTTGCCTCTCAGATTTTTCATTTGTAATTAAAGTCTATTTAATTAGAAAATTTATAATTAAAATTATAATTGATTACGAGAGTAAAATTTATAATAATTATCCATCTTCATTAATTAAAATTAGTATTTGCAAATGGATTGCAAAAATAGCATCTAAAAAATACTTTTGAATATAAAAGATCAAAAATTTATTCATATTACTGATAATTTTATAATTAAAAACACGTCAAATTAATTTATCAATTTCAACAAGATTATTTTTTAATAATTTAATAATTTTATGCAGCAAATCGTTACTTGGTGTTTATTTATTTAAAGTTTATTTCAAACATAACTTTTTCGTTGTAATACCAGCGGTTATACGACAAATACGCTCGTGAAAACGATTCCAACTAAAGAGAGTTGGTACGTCGCGTACGAGGACGCGCACGACACTGAAGACGCTAAAGTCGAGCTTGCAAACTGATACGAATTCGTGGGCTCACGTGGTGAATTGATGCGCATGCGTTTGGCATAATCTCCCTCTTCTTCTTCTTCTTTCAGCGTGCTATTAAGTATTTCTCTTTCTTTTGCTCCTCTGTTGTGTGACAGAAGGTTCCTTCAACTCTTCTTACCCAATAATCTCACGTGCGCCGTCTTCCCACTTTCGAACTTTTTCCCCTTTCCCACTTCCTTATCTGGGACAACATGGGGTGACTTAGCAAACTCCCGCTGCAAGTTGTTCAGTTTGTTTTAGACTCGCGAACCCTATACAAGAGCATATATTGTTCTTCATTCACTTAAGACCCGAGAATATTTTAATAATTGTATGGTCCCAAGTCGAAATATAGGTAGTACTTGTTGGAGACCTTTTAGATCACTTTTGCTACTCTTGAAGTCTCTTTTGATACTTGAGATTTTTTCTTTCGATTTTAATCCTTTTTCAACTCTCAATATTATTTTTTTTGTATTCTTTAAAAACTAATGTGTACTTGGAGCCATGGATTTTTCAAAAACAGTCATGTTGAAAATTGATATCATGATTAAAGTCCCCGACAAGTAGCTTGCAGTGATGAATTGAAAGTTAATTGAAACACATAAATAAATTTTTAATTCTGGTCATATTATTTATACATCCACAAAATGATTTATTAATAATACTAAAAAAAGTACTGGACTAGAACTTGAGGAATTGTTTTTGTTAAATCGTAAATAAGTACTGATGAGGTTAAAAGAAAATACCAACACTTCTAGACCTTTTATAAATAATAATTGGGTAATTTTGAATACTTAAAAATCAGGACTTCAAAGTATTTAAAGCATACCTTTATTCCAGCTGGGGGTTTCATGAGCAATGAATGTAAACTGTAGGTTTTTTTTGTCATCTTTTTGTTTTGAATGATGAGAAAATAGACCACTTATCATTAGCTCATTCTAAATTTTTTGCAAACAATCTTCCAAGATAAAAAAGATGGCTTTTTCTCAGGAAAAAAAAACGGACCAAACAGTCGAAACAATCTAAAGAAAAAATAGTCGACGAAATCGTGGATAAACGTTTCTCTCAGCATCAGTAAAAGTCGAAACAATAGAAGAGCTGTACAAGGCAAGGGATTGAAATTGCAAAATGCAGGATCGACTCGTTACCTAACAGCTATATCTATTTCTCTTTTTCGCTTGCTTCCTCTTTTACCCCTCTTATATTTAGTACCAGCGGCGTCTGTCGATTCCTTTTATTCTTCCAAGAAATAGTCCCTTCTTCAAGCTTCTCTTCTTCTATTCACTGCCGCTAGGATTTCTGCGAAATCACAGGTATTTTCACACGCAGAAAAGAAAGATGACTTGTGGAAACGGAAGTAGTTTTAGACAATCGTCGAATCTCTTACATCCGAGAGCATTGACTCCAAGCTCGTCAGTTTTATATTTTATTTTCTTTTATATCTTCAAAAGTGTGCTTATAAATATTTTCTTACAGAATATCTATGGATTTATCGTATTCTTGAGAGCTTTTTTTTTTTTTTTACTTTTTGTTTTTCTTTATCGGAGTTCATCAATTAAACATTTTACATCCAATTTTATTTTTAAAAAAAAAAAAATTTATAGTATGAGGGAATTTGTGACAACTATTTTATTGCAAAAATTATTTTATTTCAAAATAATGAAAAATATTTTTGCATAAAAAAAAGGATATGTGGAAGAAAGGATTTTTTTGTGTAATTTGCAGAGAATTTATCGAACATTGAGCCAATTTCTGTGTAATTACAATGTGGTCAATTTCATTATAGTATGTAAATTATGTTACAATCATTTATTGCTGGTTTGTTTAATAGCCAGGTTACACTAAATAATAAAAATGATTAAGAAAAAATGCTTTAATTTGAGAAATATTTTTTTAGAATTGACTTGGTAATATTCTTAAAGATTCACTTCTCATGATTACTTAAATTAATTTATTTTAAAAAACACAATTTTATTGGGCTCGATTATTTTAAATGTAATTATCTGAGTATTTGTTTAATTAAATGTTTTATTTTTATTTCAAGATCCATGGTATCTCAATAAGTGAGAATTAATTTAATGTCACTTGTATTTAAACTCAAATGAGACACGAAGAAAAAACGTCGTAAATTAATAAATTAATTAATATATTAACAAAATGTTAATAATTTTCAAAATAAATTAAAAAATTGATGAACGTCGTAATTTCAATCACAAATTGTTTTTACAGCTCTAACGATAGTATTAATTTTAAACGAATAAAATAAATTTAAAATTTATGATTCTTAATAAAATTATTTTTCTACTAATAAATTAAAAATAATGTCAATCAATTTATTTTGTTTAAAAAAAAAAAAAATGACAATAAAAAAATAAAGCATTCAAATCCTTGGGTGTTTAATGTATGACTACTTTTTGCAGGGCCCGTTTGGAGGCAATGAATATTTGAACATCTTGAAGCCACCCTTAAGCAAACCCATCTTCACTCTTTTCGAGACCTTTTTTCTTGAGAGGGCTCATCTTAGACCGTACATTTTCGTTCCAACTCTTGAAAAAATGTGTACCAGACTCACAAAGACAAAATTAAACAGAAATTTATGTATAACTCTTAAAAAAAAAAAAATCTTCCACCTCTCACAAGGAGTTTAACAGTTCTTTTAAAAATAATTTTATATCAAAAATAAAATAAAAAAGACTCTCGATATTCTCTTTCTAAATATTTCCTTTTTTTTTTTTTTTTTGTTATTAATTTTTTACCGTTTTTTGTATTCTCTTCCGGCGTAATTCGTCATAGCTTTTTCCGCAAATCGATACCGCTCATATGACAGGTATAGCAAGAGTATTGCATGCCAATATTTGTCCTGTACTTTCAAGCTTGTCATTCTGTTGTTTGTTGGATTTTTTATTATTTTCACGCTATTTTTAATAGCTTCCTACGTAAACAATTGTCGATGTTTTATAAAATTCGTTGACGATTGTAACAAAAATAATAAAGAAGAAAAAAAAACGAAACAGATGAATTAATGGAGTTGATACGAATTTCGTATACAAAAAAAAAATGGACACAAACGATTAAAAAATATTTCTTCTCTTGAAACTGGTCCATTTTGCCTTTTATTCTTTGGTGATATATGGTAGAAGCAGTGACAGTCATATGTGTGCAATACAAAAGAGAAATTAACAGAGTCGAAAGCCAAAGGTGGTTCGAGCTGTGCAATAATAACAAACAGAAGACAAAGAAGCGTGAAGGAAAAAGGATAGAATGAATCAGAAGAGAAAAAAAATGAAAAAATATAACTTCGGGGCGGGACGCGATTAAAAAGGGGCAGGCGGCCTGCGAATTAAAAGCGTCAGCCCGCTGCTAAAAGATCAAGAATTCCTTCGTAAATTTTTTTTTCCTGTGCCTTATTCTTCTTTCTTTTCTTCCTCTTATTTTATACCGGTGAGCTAGAGCGTACACCGACGTATTCAGTAATGAGAGCTAAAAACGCTTCATAGCGTCACCATCATCACCCTGTATCCAAGCTAGTGCGCATTCTCATTTCGATTCTCCTTTTTCCACAGTCTCCGATTGAAGAGACCGATTGAAGAGGCCTTTATAGTTCTCTCTACGGCTTTATACCTTCAAGCTTTCTACCTATTATGAT